ATTAGGCAGGACACTGCATTGCTGCTCTCCAGCACCACAGGACAGACAGGAAAAAGGCAGCCTAGTACATTACCCTATGTGTTTTTCCCCCATTTTCTGTCTCTCTCTCTCTCTCTCTCTCTCTCCATGCATGTCATGTGTGATCAGGCACAGTGTGTATGTTTGAAGAATGAGAATAAGAAGTGGATGGTGAAGCCTGTGGTGAGCCAAAGATTCAGTCTGACTTTACTGAGACAGTTTTTGTGTGATCATCAGGAGCAAACTGAAAGAAGAAAAAATTATTTTTTAGTTTTAAAAAAAATGATTTTTCTCTTTACACAACATGTCACACCTCCAGTGGAGCCTTGGTGCTGATCAGGGTGGCTTCTATGCTGGAAGCTTGGAGGCTTGAAGGACTGCTGCTGGGGACACTTCTTGACTCTACATCACCAGAGAGGTGGACGCATCATCAGGTAGGAGGTGGCAGAACAAGTGGGTCTGAACGGAAAGCAGGAGAGGTGTAGGAGGAAGAGTTGTGCGCTTGTGTCGTACATTCTGTAGGCAGGCTGATGGCAGGCCAGTGAAGCTGCCTATGCTCTCAGCTGAGAGAGGATAATGGCAGTTCTTGGCCCCTTTTCCACTTCATTCATCTGAGTTTGCCACAGAGGAGCTGGGAAGTGCTAGCCAAAGTCACGAAGAGTTCTGAAAAAGGATGGGTGTGAAGTGTTGAACTACCCTTTCTCACCACACCAGGAGACCCCTGTCACACCTGTGAGGGGCCAAATTTTGGTATTTGATAACCTTGTTTCTCCTTTCTTTTCTCCAAGCCAGGTGAAAACAGACAGTGGCAATTCTTGATTTATGTGGGAGTTCTCTCCCTCCCCCCACCACTGTCTCCTCCTCACTTCTGACCTCACCAGCCTCCAAACTCAGCTCCATGGATTGGTTCTAGCACGAGCCTGTCGATTTTTCTCATTTCATTTTCTTTTTCTTTTTGTCGAGGCTTCAGGGGAATTGCCAAGACCTGTTTCATGCATGTCCACTGGCGGCAGGTTCAACTTTGACGATGGGGGGTCATACTGCGGAGGGTGGGAGGAGGGCAAGGCACATGGCCACGGGATCTGCACAGGACCGAAAGGCCAGGGTGAATACTGTGGGTCCTGGGCCCATGGCTTTGAACTGCTGGGCGTCTACACATGGCCCAGTGGGAACACCTACCAGGGCATCTGGGCTCAGGGCAAGAGACATGGCCTGGGCATTGAGAATAAAGGCCGCTGGGTGTACAAGGGTGAGTGGACACATGGCTTTAAGGGACGCTATGGTGTACGGGAGAGCACGGGGACGAGTGGGAAGTACGAGGGGACATGGAACAACGGCTTGCAAGATGGCTACGGAACAGAGACGTACTCAGATGGAGGTACGAGGGGGAAGAAAGACACAAGGGCAGATGCATTGTGGGTGCTTTGGGGGTGGGTTTGAATGTGTGACAGAAGGCATGCGAGGGTGTGTGAACCCAACAGTGCCTGTCAATGAGTGATATTTACGTGTCACTGACAACTGTCCTCTGTGAAATCAACTTCTTACTGGAAAATGATAGACAGGCTGATGACAGTTACAGAGGTGACAGATGTTTTTCTAAACGCCTTCTCAGGTCATAATTTATTCAGCTGCACCTTGTCAACACACATAAATTCATGCAGAAGCAAAGGGTTGTATAGAACAGGCTTTGAAAATTATTCTCAATCTTTATTCTAATCTTCGATCTCTGACCCCTCACCACCCCTCTCGCTTTTCTTCCCATTTTAATTCACAATTTCAGCTCCATAATGACACTGTGTGTATTTGGAGGCTTTCATTTCATTTAGGCCACAAAGTCGTAAGGGATGAGTTAAAGGTTAGACAGACAGCAGCTCTGAAGAAAGCAGTTTTAGAAAATAGATAGTAGTGTTGCAGTGATTTCACGGAGAGCATAGAGACATCAAATCCACCATCTTCGCCCTTGATTTCCCCACTTATCCCAGTCCTTATGTGGCGTATATGTCCCTCTTGCATGATGTGAACAATTTTATCAAATAAACTATAGCGCAAGAGAACTTCTAAGGCAGTGTAGGAAGCTAATTTTCAATAAATGAGATGTTATCAGACATGGTTTTAACTATTCATTGTCTAGACAAAATAAGACTAAAGTCACATTCAGACCAATTTGAGCCATGCATGACAAAAATGCAGCTCATTCATACTTTTGAATGGAATTAGTCAGCACAATGAATCACTACATGGGGCTTTATCAGGATAATGCAGGGTTTTCTGGCAAATATGTTTTGAACCATGCTCAACTTGCAGTGGTACGCAAATGTCATGCAACAAGGCTTATCACTTACACATGCAAGCTCACATTCCTGGTAGATTACTTTGTAGTATGAATGGTATTTTTCTGTTACTTACCTCTTGGAATTGATGCAATGAAACATAAAATAATCACCACAGTGATAACTTCCTGATATGTAAAATCCTGAGTGTGAATATTATAAATATGTTAAATTAAAGTTAGGGTATGCAACTTTTTTCCAAATATTTTTCTTCTCCTGAGCTTCCTGTGACCCAGGCTAATTGAACAGCAGTGCAGAGGTATTAGCTTTTAAAATGTTTTGAGGGGGGTTGACCTCTCTAATCAGTCAGAGATTTTCAATTATTTTACTTGATCATTAAGTTTTGTTGCATTCTCATTTATTGTAATTTCATAAAAGCAGCTATCTGAACAGCTGGGCAGAGCATGGTGGAGCATAACAGATTGTAGTAGAGTGTGGTGTAGCAGGGAGAGGGAGTGCTGGGCGGAGCAGAGTGGATTGATTTGGAGAGTCATGCTAGAGTTAACTCAAGTTACATATTATAGCTTTAACTGGCTCTACTCGCGGTTAATGTCTGTCAGTCTCTAACCTGAATTAACTTATTTGTCTATACCATAAATCTCCATTGTTGTTCAAAAACAATTAAAGGCACATCAGGGAAACACACCACTGCACTGGGTGACATGTTTCCTCATTACAAAACACCTGACTTGAATATTTGTTTAAAATGTTGCCCCATAAGCTCCTTACAAGCTTACGTTTTTACAGCATCTAGAGTAAGCAAGAGTCAATTGTGCAAGATCTCTGTGAAAGCATGAGGAGCTAGCGGACTGCAGATAAAGCATGGCTTTATTAAGGAAAACCTGGATTCTTGACTGAGACATGGCGCCCATCAGTTGATAATACATGTCACAATACACAGAGCGATAACTGACCTTGCTTATAGTTCGAGATGTCCTATCAGCAGTTTTACAGACATCTTTTTTTATCAATGTGTGCCTATGGAGAAAATGGTTTTTGGGTCCCATGAGGATTTTTGTTGCAGTACTGCCGGTGGCCATTGGGAATAACTTTCTGAACTGCTGATTGGTGGTGCCGTACTCGGGTTTCCGTAATACATTCATGAAACAAAGCAGAGACCTGGCGTGGAGGTCTAGCTTAGTTTAGATGCAGTTGAAACTTATGGCCATCTGGACCTTAGGGGTCAATTGCTTCTACTCACTGTTAATTTCTGTCTGTCAGTCCTGGCACAGGACACATCACTGAAACACATCGCTACACTGGGTGACATGTTTCTTCATTATTGAGTGCAGCAAGATTGTCGGTACCACTTGGGATGATGTACAGGTATAAACACATTTTTAGGGGCCTCTAATTTGTAGAATCTTTTTTGATTCAGCATCAGATGTGAATCTGAAATCAAAATCAATGCTATACTTTAGCCTCTTAGAGTCAGGCTCACTTCAGTCACTGGTAATGACATATGGATTGCTGCCTAAAAATAGAAACAATGCACACGCTTGTGTATATGCACATTGTGTGCATAGAAATGTACACACATGAAATCTGCCAGTATGTGTGTGAGCTGAGCAACAGAGTTGGCAGTAGCATACATTCAGTTAAAGCTTTGTTACACACTGTAATTCTACAACCAGCAGACTGCATTTTAAAGAGCCTGCCTGAACCACATACACACACACACACACACACACACACACATACTGAAACCATACATACAATTATTATCACAGCTTTCCAGAGGCAGCAAACACGCTGCTGT